AAGTAATTTGCACGAGGTTGCCTAGCTAACAAGAGTGGTGCTACAACTCAAAGCTAGGTCCATGGTACTGCATGAATTTGTATCAGTGTGGGAAAAAGGAAGGTCTTAACTTGTGAGACATGATTGGAAACAGAGCAAAAGGGAAACGGGAAGCTAATTAAACATCTATGGAACCCTGTTATTTGACTGGCACTGAAGTAAACAAAGGAAGGAGGGAAAAGAGGGAACTTTAGGGGATGGCAGTATAGTCACCAACTTTGGAACAGTTACAGGATAAGAGATCTGTGGTAGCCATAATGGAGGCAATCTTTATTAACCACATTCCATCTCTCTAGAAGTATGTCAAGCAATTTGATGTATCATTTTATTTAATCCTTATGACTTTGCAATGAGGTAATAATAATAATAAATAATGACTACCATTTTTTGAGCATCTTTTACATATAGGGTGAACACTATGCTAAATGTATTATAAACAGTATCTGATTTTATTTATACAACATGATTATGAGATTGGTACTGTTGTTATCCACAATAGAAAGAGGGAAAAATTGAGACTTAGAGAAAACAGCATTTCTTTGATCATACAACTGGTAAATAGAAGAAATAAATTAAAACCTGCATCATTTTATGAAAGAACCTAATCTTTTAAATGCATCACTATTCTGGCTCTCAAGTACAGATTGCTTAAAAATGAACTCAAAAGCATTATTTATCAATACTCATGGTCTTTTATTTTCCTCAAAAATAATCAGATCCAAAATAAAAGTCAGTATTTTGCAAAGAAAAAAAAAGTAAATTGCCTTGCTGGGGAAATTTGTATTCGAGTGCTATTTGTTTTGTGGCACTGAAAATTTTACTTATAACGGAGTGAAATGAGAAACTACACGACGAAGTCCAGCAGTTTACAGCACACAGTGTTCAGTAAACAGCTTTTTTCTATTACCTGGGGCTTGAGCCCATGTCTGGTAAGGCCTAATTCTATTGCTCTTTTCTCTGCATCTGAACCTCTATTAAGAAGCGTTCCAATTTGGCAAGCTGATCCAAGACATTATGAATTGTAATCCTTGTCTGTTTTCTAATCTGACCGTAGATCTTAAATGTGCTGGGTGTCTGAACAGAGGCCAAAGGGCTCAGGTCCAGGCCTACCTATCACACCCGCTTTCTGGCACCAACCAGCAGACTCTATTCTGTGTGAGAAGCAGGAGGGGTCCTGAGCACTGTGGGTGGAGCTACTTCCCTGGAGCCTAATATTAGCAGCAGGTTGTCCTGAGTGGGAACTGCTGCATGGTTCATCCCAAAACCCCTCCCCCGCTGGAACCTGGGGGAGATTTCCTCTGGGGATACCAGTAGCCAGAGGCTGCATGATAAAGACAACAGCAAGTTAGATTCTACCTCTCCCTGAGCCGCCAAGTTCAAGGTCCTCTCCCCTCACTGTATCTCAGACTCCGCATTTGTCAAATGAGAGAATTGGACCAGATTTGTGCTTTTTAAACTTTCTGGGTTTCTTGTCTCCTTGAGAATATTTGATAAAAAAAGCTTTGGACCAACTTCCCATAGTAAAACAACAACAACAATATAGCTTACATTCTATCGTTTTTTTTTTTTTTTTTGAGACGGAGTCTTGCTCTGTCTCCAGGCTGGAGTGCAGTGGCATGATCTTGGCTCACGGCAACCTCCACCTCCCAGGTTCAAGCAATTTTCTGCCTCAGCCTCCCAAGTAGCTGGGATTATAGGCCCTGGCCAACATGCTCAGCTAGTTTTTGTATTTTTAGCAGAGACGGGGTTTCACCATCTTGGGCAGGCTGGTCTTGAACTCCTGACCTTGTGATCCACTCACCTCCACCTCCCAAAATGCTGGGACTACTGGTGTAAGTCGCCATGCCCAGCCACTCTGTCCTTCTATAGGGGGTGCAGAAGGATTGTTTTCCTTGAACTAGACACCAGCAGAGGGCGTTCTGGATTAATTTAAGATATGATTTGAAATCTCTGCTTTCACTTTTGCATTCAGATAGCTGTGTAAGCATTACCATCAGAGAAGCTTTCCAAAACTCCTAAACTAGATCAAGTTCTATTATTCTTAGCCCTTTTAGCGCCCTGTAATTCTTCTTCAAAATGCTTTACACAATTCTAATTATCTTTTGAATATTTGTCTACTCCATTAGACTTACTTCGTCAAAGGTCTCACAGCATCATCTCAGGAACAAAGTGGCAGCTTCGTGGCCTTTTTTGGTTGTTGTTTAATAGAAACAGGGTCTCGCTCTGTCACCCAGGCTGCAGTGCAGTGGCACAATCATAGTTCGCTGTAACCTTGAATTCCTGGGCTCACACAATCCTCCTGCTTCAGCCTCCTGAGTACCTGGCACTATAGGCGTGTGCCACCATGCCTGGCTAATTTTGAAATTTTTCTGTAGAGATAGGGGTCTTGCTATCTTGACCAGTCTAGTTTCAAGTGATCCTCCTACCTCAGCCTGGGATTACAGGTGGGAACTATCATGTATAGCCTTCATGGCCTTTTGCACCTAGCCTCGGAGGTCACAGAGCCATCACAAGGTGAGCCAGCTGAGAATTTGCTATTTAAGGACTCAAAAGAGTATAGCAGAGAGGGTGAGCCTGCAGGAGTCAGTGGGATAGCCTGGTGTCTATTGACCTCAGCGCATCTCCATCTCCTCATCTAGCAAACACATGAGCATGTCCCATGTGTTTGACACTGTACCAAGCTCTAGGATCATTAGGTGACCACAGCTCATACTTTAATCCCTTACATTCTTTCTGTTGTAAGGCCAGGGTGTAAATTAAACACAGCCCAATGTACCAAGTGCTATAACAAAGTGCAATGATGGGTATGGATTGAATTGTATACCCCCAAAAAACTCTTTGAAGACCTAAGCCTCAGAACCTGTGAAGGTGACCTTATTTGAAAATAGAATCTTTAGAGATGTAATCAAGTTAAAATGAGGTCATTAGAGTGGGCCCTCAACCGATATAACTGCTCTCTGTAGGAGAAGAGTGGAAGAAACACAGAGATACACACACACTGGGAGAAAGCCCTATGACGGCAGAGGCAGAGATCACCGTGACAGGTCCACAAGCCAAGGAATGTCGGAGATTGCCAGGCACACCAGAAACTTAAGAGAAAGGCTGGAACAGTTCTCCCCTGAGCCTTCAGAGGGAGCATGGCCCCGCTGACACTTTCTTTTTTCTTTTTTTTTGAGACGGAGTTTCGCTCTTTTTACTCAGGCTGGAGTGCAACGGCGCGATCTCGGCTCACTGCAACCTCCGCCTCCTGGGTTCAGGCAATTCTCCTGCCTCAGCCTCCTGAGTAGCTGGGATTACAGGCACATGCCACCATGCCCAGCTAATTTTTTGTATTTTCAGTAGAGACGGGGTTTCACCATGTTGTTTCGATCTCTTGACCTCGTGATCCACCTACCTCGGCCTCCCAAAGTGCTGGGATTACAGGCGTGAGCCACCACGCCCGGCCCCCGCTGATACTTTCATATCAGGCTTCTAGTCTCCAAAACTGTGGGAGAACAAATATCTGCTGTTTAAAGGAACCCAGTTTCTGGTACATTGTTATAGCAGCCCAAGGAACTAATAGAGATGGTCAGTTTGATGTGTTAACTTTGCTGGGCTATCATCCCCAATTGTTCCGTTGAACACTAATCTTGTTGTTGATGTGAAGATATTCCGTAGATGTGATTAACATCTATAATCACTTGACTTTGGGTAAAGGAGATTATCAGAGCAGGCCTGATTCAATCAATTGCAAGCCCTTTAGAGCAGAATGAGGTTCCCTGAAAAATCAGAAGTTCTGCTTGTGGACTGCAGCTTCAGCTAATGCCAAGGAGTTCCAGCCTGCCCTTCCTGATGGCCCACCCTGCAGATTTTAGATTCACCTAATCAGCCTCCATCATTGCAAGCCAGTTATTTGTAATAACTTAATATATGGTTCAGTTTATCTAATGGGACTCTGATTAATACACAAAGGGTTGATCTTGAAATCTATTTTCCTAAGAGACTGTGGAGTAGATGAACCCTTCAGAGAGGGAGCTTTTGGGCAGGGTGTTGAAGGAAGGGTAAAGATTGCCAGGTGAGGAAGGGCATTTCAAGTAGAGGGAGCAGCATGTGCAGAAACCTAGAAAGGTGCCTTACTTTCCTCCTCCCCCAGTGGCTGAAGATAGGAGTTACAGAGTTTATCCTGATTACTGAGTTTTTTTGTCCTCCATTATATTTTGCCCCTAGGAGAGACAGCCTTGTCCCTCACTCCAGTCTTGGCGCTGCTAAATATTTCCAGCACCCTAGCAGCTTCCTCATTCCCTCAGTCCCCTCAAAGGAAACCTCTCGCCAAGGCCAGGAGTATTTAACAGAGATGGATGGCCTGGGATGTGTGATTATATGATGTCTGTGTATGCTTGTTTTTCTGAGGGGCTAGTTCATTCCTTTGATCAGTTTCTTGGAGGTGTCTGGGAAGTGGGGAATAAGAAACACAGCTGTGGATGGGTGGCGAGCCAGGCAAGGGTTTGCTATTCAGGGGCTCCAAAGAGAATGGCAGAGGGTGGGTCTGCAGTAGTAAGTGGGAGAGCCTGGCGTCTGTTGACCTCATCGCAGCTCCATCTCATCTGTAAAAGGGAGCTCATAATCCTAGTTGATGGTTGTTTTATTGGACTGTGTAAAGATCAATGAGATAATGGCAGCCGAATTCACAGCACCCTGCAGGGTGCATTCCGCTAACACTAAGCGCCTACAATATGCCAGGCGCTAAGGGTTTTATCACCATCACCTCCTTAATAATGCACCATAGCCCAAGAAGGAAGGTGCAAGTCTCAGCCAGCCCTCTTGAGGACCCAGCCGAGTTGAGCCACCCCGGGAACTGCCCTCGGGGCTGGAGGGCTGCGGGACAGAAAGGGGGCGGTGCGCAGGTGGGGCGGGCTGGGGGCGGGGCGGCGCGGCGGTTCCGGGATCCGGGTCCCGGACTCCGCAGCCGCCGCCTAGGGGCGCGCTGAGCGCTGCCCCACTTGGCGGTCGCATGTTGGGGCGCGCGGCGCGGCGGCGCTGCCCGCGGGGACTGCGGCGCGGCCGGGAGGTGCTCTTGGTGCTTCTGGCGCTGGTCGGGCTGGGCTCGGTGCTGCGGGCGCGGCGCGGAGCCGGGGCCGGGGCCGGGGCTGGGGCTGCGGAGCCGGGACCCCCGCGCACCCCGAGCCGCGGGCGGCGCGACCCGGTCCTGCCACGGCCGCCGGTGGCCGTGAACGCGCTGGGAGCGCGGGGCGAGGCGGTGCGGCTGCAGCTGCAGGGCGAGGAGCTGCGGCTGCAGGAGGAGAGCGTGCGGCTGCACCAGATCAACATCTACCTCAGCGACCGCATCTCACTGCACCGCCGCCTGCCTGAGCGCTGGAACCCGCTGTGAGTGCACAGGTCGGGGGAGGAAGCCCGTCCTCAGAGCCCCTGGCCTCAGTTTCTGCATCAGAGCAGTGGCAGGGGAGGGCTTGGGTCTCCAGGATGGAGCGTCTTATTGTATCTTTCTCCGAAGAAGTTAGCGTAAGGGCTCGTATTGGGGCGGGGAGGCAAGAAAGTAAAAAAGACAAAAGTAGGAAAAAAATCCCAGAAATTGGCAAGTCTGTTGCTTGGTGATCTCTTTGCTCCCTTCTCCTTGAGAAGTTACCGTCTCCGCCTTGAAAAGGTGGGGGTCAAGGCTAAGCAGATGGGTTTGAGGCCAGGACCCCCCAGCACCCACAGGACATCCCACTCTGCCCGCCTCGCAGTGCCTCCGCGAAGCTGAAAATTCCTCCAGGTGGGTGGGAACCGGCTCCATTCATTCATCTGTGTGTGCCAGGTGAGGTGAAAGGTGGCTGGAAGGCCCCTCAGCGGCAGAAAGCCTCCTGGCGCTCTCCTTGGTCGTTGGATTTCTAAGCTTTGGGTGGAGGAAAGCCGGAAAGGGCAAGGGATGGGAAGGGCTCCTTCTGGCCGTGATCCAGCCCAGCTCACTCCCGTGGGTGGTGCCGGACTAGAGCCACCGTGGTCAGAGGCCTAGTTCCTGCTGGAGCTGCTGGCTGGTCAGGTTGTGCCTTTGCCTAGGTGAGGAGCCAAGGCACACACTGGCAGCAGGAGGAAGGCCAGGTGGCTGCTGCCACCTTTGCTGCTGGGCCTCCTGGACTCTCTCTTTTCCTTCGAGGTGGCAGGGATCTTCCAAGTCCATGTTTGAGCCCCCTCCTTACAGACTTTGAGGAAAAGAGGACTCAGAGAGGGGGGTGCCCATTGGAGCTGGTGGGGGCAGCCTTCTATGTGCACCAGGCACCTGCCACTCCTCTCCCCTCCAAGCCATTCCTGCTTTACAGGTGCGGAAATAGATTCAGAAAGGATAGGTGACCCACCTAAGGCCTCTCGGCTGGAATGTGGTGGGAATGGTCTGGAGGGACTATGGCCCTCCTGGCTCACTTGGCACCATGCTGGTCTCAGGATTCTAGGGTCCTGCTCCATGGTACCTTGGCCAGAGAGACCATGAATGGTGTGATGAGGATGCCCCACCTCTGCCCCGGTGTTTCTGCTGTCCTCCCTGTTTCGGGCATCTCCTCATGCCCAACCTAATGTTTCTGCCTGAAGCATTTTTCACTGTTAATCTTTTTGAGTAAAACTTTGTTGGAATTGTTAGCAGTTTCTCTACTCACCAGCCTAAGGCATGCTTAGCTTCTTGAAATCCTGAGGGCACCATTAAGGCAAAGCCAGGGGAAACTTTCAGGTTATACCCAGCTTCAGGTTAAATTCAGCCCAGGGAGAGAAAATCTTGGCTCTTTTCTCTGATCTCTGGCAAGCTACTTAGCCTTTCAGAGCCTTAGTTTCCCCCTCATTTGCAAAATAGGAAACTTATAAACGTCAGTATCCATGAATTCTACATAAAAGTGAGTGGAAAGAACACAGCTTAGGAATTAATAAAGCACCAATACCTGGGAGCACACTATGTGCTTAATTCTTAGTTTTTTCACCTTTCCCTGTTGGCAAGAATGTACTCAGGAGGTTGCTTTTGAGAGTCGCCCAGGGATTGGTTATAGTTTTTCTTTCCTGGTTCCAACTTCCTTTATTGTCCCAGGTTGTGAATATCTCTTTGAAACACTGTGGACAACCTGTGGGGCTTATGGTAACCTGTCTCCATGGTGACGCAGCTGCCCTGTGTCCTCCCAGGATTTGCTTGTAGATCCTGCTGTTGCATTGACCCTGGGAAGTTAAGCCAAACCCAGCATGATAAGGGAGTGTGAATGCCTCCTGCCTCTAATTCCTGCAGCAAGGCCTATTGGGTTATTCTTACCCAGACAGAGAGAAAGGTGAGCTTGAGCTGTGTGAGTCTCTGTTGGGCCAGGCTTTGAAATGCAACTTCAGAGTGGTCAGTTGAGTCAAGGCCTTTTGTGGAGTCTCACTTTTTTTTTTTTTTGACGGAGTCTGGCTCTGTCGCCAGGCTGGAGTACATACAGTGGTGCAATCTCAGCTCCCCGCAACCTCCACCTCCCGGGTTCAAGCGATTCCCCTGCTTCAGCCTCCTGAGTAGCTGGGACTACAGGCACATGCTACCACACTTGGCTAATTTTTTGTATTTTAGTAGAGACAGGGTTTTGCCATATTGGCCAGGATGGTCTCGATCTCCTGACCTTGTGATCCGCCTGCCTTGGCCTCCCAAAGTGCTGGGATTACAGGCATGAGCCACCGCGCCTGGCTGGAGTCTCACTTTTATTACATTGCATCCAGTAGCTAATCAGAGTCTTGAGATTTTGCCTGAGAAACCCGAGTAGCAGATCATGAGTCCACAGTGTGGGTGTGGGGTCCCTGCGAATCTAATAAACAGAGGGATAGTGAGGGTCCTTGAATGTTGTAGGAGGGAGGGCCCCAAGGGAGCATCTAGTCCAACCAGAGAGGAAAAGTCACACCCTCAGGTCACACAGCACATCTTGGGCAGAGCCACAATCCAGATCTTTTACTCTTTCCTCCCTTTTTTTGGGGCTGGGGGACAGTTATTTCTATGTTTATTTTAATTATAAAAGCAATGCATATTCAGTCTAGAAATGTTAGCATACACAGAGAAACAGACAAGTAAAAAAAATTAAAAATCACCAAGAAACCTACCACTCAAGGAGAACCATTGTTAACATTTTGCTGTGCCTCTTTCTAGACCTTTCGAGGCAGAGAAATCGGTTTTGAAAAATACACATCTAGGTGTGTGGGAGAACCTACTCCAACATCATTATGTACATGGGCCCACAGTTGTTTTAAATGAAAGTCTTTGCTCTGCGGTGCCTTTTACCAGAGGCAGGGAGTAGGTACCATTTGGTTTGGCTCTTCCTGTTGTCAGCAGGGTGTGGCACTGTGTCTGCTTTCTTGGAGAAGGCCAGACTGCTGAAAAGACATTTCAGAGTGCTGGTCGTAATTCTGTGAGGCCCAGTATAGACCTAGACCCCTCTATGAATTTAATAGTTTACATGCCAGTGGATTCGAGTATAGTTTTGTTAGTTGCAGCACTGAGTTGAGGAGAAGGAGGCTGATGATGACTAGGAATACTTCCTTGCATGGAAGCATAATGAGTATTAATATAAATAAGTCTAGGAGGTATAGGTAGTATAATAAGTAAGTAAGCATAGTAGTATATTATGAATAGCATCTCAGCAAGGAAGGGGAATTTTTACTCTGATACGATAGCAACTCAAAGTGGGAGGCGGATAGATGGATTTGTGGCCCTAGGGAACTTTTAAAAAGATACTGATGCCAGGAACCTTCCCCAGAACAATTAAATGAGAATTTCTATGGCTGGGACCTAGGCTGAATCTGATATGCAACCATGGGTGAAAGCTACTGGCCTAGAGCCTGTGGATTTCTGAGTCAAAAGTTTAGGGTGTGTGCTTTGGAGGGTGTGGAGAATACCAGAACTAGACAAAGTAAGGATTAATAACAGGTCAAATGTAGTTGAAGCCAGTGATGACATCATAGTCAATTGAGTGGTATGTCACAGGAAATGGTTACTAATAATGTTGTACCAAAATTTGCAAAAAAGTTTTAGTTTTCACAGAATGCAGGGAACTTGACATGATCACTGTAATGTCATTCTCATTTGCAATCTGATATTCAGCAGAAGAGAAAGAGTGGAGTAACAGACAGTACCCTCAAGTCTGGACATTTCTCCAGGTATATCTATGGGGATACCATACATGTGAGCACTAGCCATTCTCTACCAGGGCAGAACTATGAACCATTGGTCAAGGAAAGCATGGTGTTTGTATTTCTTGACTTGCTCTGGTTTTAGGCTTGTTAATACTATAATTACAGAAGTGTGTCTAAGTTTACAGGTCAGAATTTGGGTGCTGGGATGGCAAAGAGTCTCGAAGTAGCTTTTTTTTTTTTTTTTTTTTTGACATAGTCTTGCTGTGTCACCCAGACTAGAGTACAATGGCACAATCTTGGCTAACTGCAACCTCCACCTCCTGGGTACAAGCCATTCTCCTGTCTCAGCCTCCCAAGTAGCTGGGATTACAGGCACGCACCACCACACCCAGCTAATTTTTGTATTTTTAGTAGAGATGGGGTTTCACCATGTTGGCTAGGCTGGTCTCAAACTCCTGACCTCAGGTGATCCATCCACCTTGGCCTCCCAAACTGCTGGGATTACAGGCATGAGCCACCATGCCTGGCCTCAAAGTAGTTCTAAACAGGTAATTCAGCAAAAATATGTCTTGCTAGGGTTGCAGGAGGGACTAAGGCATGAGACTGATTTTTTTTGGTTACCCCAACAAAATATTTAATTAATTCTTATTGAATCCATCTTGAGATCATCAGAGTGGCATTCTTTCCTGATTCAGTACTCAAATCCACAGAACATGTTCAATTTTGGTTAGTATTTTCCTGATACCTTTTCCTTTCACTCATTCTGTGTCCATATGTTTTTGGTATGTCTTTGAATAGTATGTTGCTTGATTTTGTGTTGTCATTAAAAAAAAATCAAGGCCAGGCTCAGTGGCTCATGCCTATAATCCCAGCACTTTGGGAGGCTGAGGTAGGTGGATCACTTGAGGTCAGGAGTTCAAGATTTGTCTGGTCAACATGGTGAAAACCCGTCTCTACTAAAAATACAAAAATTAGCTGGGTGTGGTGGTGGGTGCTTGTAATCCTAGCTACTTGGGAGGCCGAGGCAGGAGAATTGCTTGAACCCAGGAGGCCAGAGGTTGCGGTGAGCCAAGATTACACCACTGCACTCCAGCCTGGGCAACAGAGTGAGACTCCATTAAAAAAAAAAAATGTCCAGACTGAATCATTGACTTTTAACTAGATGGTTCTATCCACTTATAATTATTGTGCTTACTGATACTTTTGGATTTGATAGTGTCATCTCATTTTATGTTTTCATTTGTTATGCTTTTTTTGGTTTTCTT